TTAGTATATGCTATATTTTTGTTCTTAGGTAATTACTGTAGTAGTGTTCATGTAGATATTGGGTCCATATTGAGCCTAGATCCCGAGGTTCTCAAAAATTACAGACCTGTTTCTAACTTTCTTGGTAAGATAATTGAAAAGGTTGTGTCTAAACGATTATTGGCCCATGGTAAAGAACATACTTGATTCGTTCCAATTTGCATATAAAGCACATCATAGCACTGAAACAGCCTTACTTAGAGTAAGCAACGACATCCTACGTGCAATGGATGATGGTAAACTTACTGCTTTAGTGCTATTAGATTTAAGTGCAGCTTTTGACACTGTTGACCATAATGTTTTGCTTTGTAGATTAAGTAAGCACATTGGAGTCGAAGGTCGTGCACTCGAATGGTGTTGATCTTATCTTACAAACAGACGTCAACATGTATGTATTGGGAACGCTTTCTCCCAGGAAAGTTCCTTCAATTTTTCTGTTCCTCAAGGATCTGTTCTTGGGCCACAATGGTTCACAATTTATATCCTACCTATTCGGGATATAATTTGCAAATATAATTTCTCCTATCATGTTTATGCTGACGATACTCAGATTTACCTTTCGTTTAAACCGTTCATGACGCAACTTGATATCCCTTTAGAATCATTTGAAAATTGCCTTTCTGAGTTGCGTGTTTGGATGAAGCAAAATCTTCTAAAATTGAATCATGACAAAACTGAATACATACTTCTTGGGTCACGCCAACAGTTGGAAAAACTTCCGCTGAGTAAAATTTAGTTATTGGGGAAACCCTAATTGGCTCTGCTGTGCAGGTCAGAAATCTTGGTAAACGTTCCGCCGGCACTGTCTAATTTAAGCTTTCTTGGTAAGATAATTGAAAAGGTTGTGTCTAAACGATTATTGGCCCATGTTAAAAAACATACTTTACTTGATTCGTTCCAATCTGCTTACAAAGCACATCATAGCACTGAAACAGCCTTACTTAGAGTAAGCAACGACATCCTATGTGCAATGGATGATGGCAAACTTACTGCTTTAGTTCTATTAGATTTAAGTGCAGCTTTCGACACTGTTGACCATAATGTTTTGCTCCGTAGATTAAGTAAGCACATTGGAGTCGAAGGTCGTGCATTGGAATGGCGTCGATCTTATCTACATGTATGTATTGGGGACGCTTTCTCCCAGGAAAGTTCCTTCAATTTTTCTGTTCCTCAAGGATCTGTTCTTGGGCCACAATGGTTCACAATTTATATCCTACCTATTCGGGATATAATTTGCAAATATAACTTGTCATACCAATGTTTATGCTGACGATACTCAGATTTACCTCTCGTTTAAGCCATCCATGACGCAACTTAACCTCTCTCTAGAATCACTCGAAAATTGCATTTCTGAGTTACGTCTTTGGATGAAGCAAAATTTTCTAAAATTGAACGACGACAAAACTGAATACATACTTCTTGGGTCTCGCCAACAGTTGGAAAAACTTCCACTGAGTAATTTAGTTATTGGGGAAACCCTAATAGGCTCTGCTGCGCACGTCAGAAATCTTGGTTTTACTTTGGATGCTAATATGACAATGAGTAGACATATTTCAAATATCATTTCAACATCTTCATTTTATTTACGTAACATTAGAAGCATTAGGAAATATATTGACGATGCAGCTGCTGAGCAACTCGTTCACTTATTTGTTACCTCACGCCTTGACATGGGTAACTCGCTCTTGTGGACTTCCTCAAAAACAAATCCAACGGCTTCAACTCATTCAAAATGCTGCTGCACGTGTAGTTACCAAGTCACCTAAGTACAGTAGTCTCATATAACAAATACTATGAAATCATTGCATTGGCTCCCGGTACAACACCGCATTGCTTTTAAGATACTATTAATAGTTTTTAAATGTTTAAATGGTTTGGCTCCTGACTATGGTGCCGACAGGATTCGGCCTTATATTCCTGGGCATAACGGGCGCTCATGTGACAGACTATTTTTACACCAACCTAAGTCATATAACTCTTACGGAGATCGAGCTTTTAGTATTGCTGCTCCACGTCTTTGAAACGCTTTGCCTTACTCGGTCAAACACAGTAGATCTTTATACTTGTTTAAAAAAACGTTAAAATTGCATCTCTTTACCGAGGCATATAGAGAACCTTGATGTTTTCTTTGTTGAATTTAAATTTAAAAAAAAAATAAATATATAAAAATGATACCACTTTTTCTCTGTCGACACAATGTTGCTCTTTTTGCAGTGCACGGTAGTAGAGCCCTGGGCTTATCCTAGGGTGGAAGGTGCTGATGCTTAACATGCTGCCTTTGAGTATCTGCGCATACTTGTATGGGGAGCAACACTGCCTCGATGGACTAATTTAGTATGCGGATTCTGCTTCTAAATTTTTTCTGGAATTAATTTGGATTTTCACTGAGGCGTATAGACTACCGTGATATTTCTCTGTTATATTTATATTATTCATAAAAAAAAAATTATATAATAAAAAAAAAAAATTAACACAATACCACTTTTCTCTGTCGACGCAATGCAGCTCCTGTTGCAGTGCACGGTAGAGGAGCTTATCCTGGGGTGGAAGGTGCTGATGCTCAACATACTGCCTTTGGGTATCTGCGAATACTTATATGGGGAGCAACATTGCCTCGATGGGATAAGTAATTGGATTTTGCTGGAAATTCTCTGGGAATTAGTTGGATCTTGTTGGTTTAATTGTCTATGCGCCTTGAGCACCTTGGGTGGAGATGTGCGCTTTATAAATCTTTATTATTATTATTATAATATATATATACATATAAATATACATATATATATATATATATATATATATATATATACATTATGCCTATAATGATTCCCACAGAGAACTCTTTTTTGAACTGAAATAAATTGAAACTATAATAATAAATGTACTACATCTACTGCTTTCATTATATTAATCAAAAGTACAATACGAAAATGGACCGACATTATCACTATAGCGAAAACAAAATGTTAGATTAAATATAATTGCTTTCATGCATGTTCTAGCAGTTGATGCCGACAATGTGCAATAATGCTGTGTACATGTTTTAAAAACATTTTAATTACGTAATAATTTGTAATGGTAGCCATGCCCAATAGGTATTACTTATGCATCTGGTGAGTAAAAACTATTTTCATTCAATATAAAATGTAAGAAATACAAATAGGGCCTAATCAAATTTACTGTCCAAGTTCATTAGATAACCCTTTATTTCCAAGTCTTTCTATATTATTACATTGCACCAACATACATTAATCTTACTCCTAGGCCTCTGTATAATTTCTATAGACCTATATTCGTATACCTGTACTAACTTTAGCAAATCTTTCAACTACAATTTAAACATCTGTTTTACTATTCTCAGTAGTAATGACAGTTTATAATCTATAGTCGCTCTATCCCTACTCATTAAAACAGGTACAGAAACAGCATCTATCCAGAAACAACACTTAACTCCAGGTATCGTAGCGGTATTTTACGACAAGGGTATGACTGAGTCTGTAGGCGTATATTTTGTTGTTTAATTTTGTATTTTATGTAATTGTGTCTCAGAGCAAAATCATTGATTTTTTAAATACAAATGACAATAAATGGAAATGAGTGAAATTAGATTAACCGATTCTATGATTTCAGTAAATAAGAATGTATTGCATGATTATGGCTGTCATATATTAATTCATAATAACTACATAATTACTGATCACTTATTCAATACAAGAATTTCTAACAGGTTCTCTTATGTATAGAATTGATTCCCTGTTTGAAAGAAGGAATGCCCATTCATATTACCTCTCTCACTACAACTCCTCAATATTCCATATATATTATAAACCCAATTAAAATAATTATTCTAAAATAATAATTGAAGACATAATGTTACCTCTAATAAAAATAGGCTCCCAGCGGGAGCGTGTGTCTACTGCCTTATACAGGAGTTTTTGTTTTTTTAATTTTATCATATGTTCTTCAATATGCAGATGTGTGTATTATTGTAGTGTATCTGGATTTTTCATGAAAATTTTCTTTCATAACAATATTCTCTATAGGCCTACTACTATATTACACTAAAAACACTTTAAAAATGAGAAACTCTTGGAGTTTGACATGTTATGTCATTGATCACAAAGAGTACTACCATGTGCTAGAAGGCGTCCTTCAAATGACGGTAAAAGGCGTTCGTGGCGAACGCATGCTGCGTCTCTATAACACGTGTTCGAGTTTCGAACGCAATTTTGTTCGAGTTCTGAACGCTATTCGAATGTAAATAGAGCGCCCCCTACCTCGTGGTAGTAGTACCCATCATGCCTAAACCAGATTTACCCTTTTCCACCATCTTTAATTGCTACATCATGACATAGTGTCTACGCTCCGGTGGGGGCAGTAGACACAAAAACCTTTAAAAAGGTGAAGTGTTCAATTGCATATATTAATTTATTCAGTTATTAACTTTCAAGAAAAAATAATAATGAAAACAAAAAATCCCTGCCACTTAACAGAGTTTAAATAATGGACAATTTCACTAAGACCCTGCCATTGGGTATTGTTGCTATGATCCAACAAAACAATAGTGTAAATAAACATGTGACAACATGTGTGTCAATATGTGACAACATGTGTGTTTACAGGACACATGCAAAAAATAGGGAGTAGTACAGCTTTTTGTGTTTCTATCTTTTTTGTTTTATGAAATGTTTCAGTTTGTTATTTTCTTTGCTGGGATCTGTGGAGGACCAGGGATTTTATCCCTGAGCAGTCCCCCAGGATAAACAATAAAAGAAAGGAAGGAAGGCCCAAACCTTTTCAACAAGCTCTACACATTACAATTTTATTTCTGATTTAATTTAGGAATTTTGTAATTTCTGTAAATCAATGGAACCTGACTGTGATCTGTGACTATTTGAAAGTTTATAATGAACGTGGTTCCTTAAAATGAGCAACACTTTGAATTTCAGACTTTTTATACAAACTTTTAGGAAATCTTCAATAAATAATATATTTAGTTTACATACAAATGCTAGAAATATTCACTATTCATCAACTCACATCCATCTCAAAAAATGTCATTAAAAGCTTACACTACTATAAAATACAAAGACTTCAAATGCATACAAACATAGAACATATTATCACCATCATGTACAATCATTATCATTCTTACTCAAATAATTAATATCAGAAAACATTAAAAAAAATAAATAACACTAATATACACAATTTAAGGATACAGTTATTCAATACAATAAGTCAGTGAATGCTATTGGGTCTATGGTTGCAATGGCATGGTTACAATAAAACAAAACAAAATATGACAGGCTTAAGTAGTATTCAGATTTTAAAACAATAAATAATCAAGGTGTTGTATACAATTATAAACCACTTGCTTAAAATTGTATTGATATGAGCTGGTATCCATTGGTATCTGATGGTAATTACTGGTATGTGTTGGAATTCTTGATATACATCATTTGGTAACTTGGCTTTATAGGCATCGATTTTAAATGATATGCCATATTTATTGTCACACATTAATAATTTCATTTTCTATTTGTATACCACTTGAGCTGTTTAACTTTAAATGAACTAAATTGTAGCTCTTCCACATCTCTGCTATTATTTATGCTTTACACATAAGGGGTAACAAGAATAGAACAGCAACATAGATCACCAAAGATGATACCACAATTTGATGCATACTCATATCAAGGACAAGCTTCAGTATACCATGCACCGAACCTCCATAACAACGCTCTAGAATTAACCAATCAGCAAAGATATTGATTCAATCGTTATGTAGTGTAAGGAACAGATGAAGATAGAGTGGCTTGTTAGTCAGTAAATTTAACTTTTTCCGCTTGAAATCTGTTGGCTTTTTATATCTGTAACCAAACAGTACACTCTTAATTAGCAACAATAGGAACCATTGACTCATTAGAAATATTAAATCACAAGAAGCAATCAAGATTTTCATCTGTAACTTTAAAAAAAATATTTATCAATCTTTTTTAGGCTTTTTTAATCTGTTAAACGTATTGCCTTGCCCCTAATTGGTTTTTTTGTAATTTATTGTACAGTACGTCTATTTGGTCAGGGGGTTTAGAGGATACCCACATCTTTTGTTGGGACTCTCAGTGACTTTGAGCTGAATATGTAATAAAAGTCAGCTAATTGTTAAATGCGCTGTGTGGATACTCACAATTCAACAACCATTGGGCCTGGTTTGATTTCATCCATCTCAAGGAATGCAAAACACTTGGTACTTGTGATGCGTTTCTTTGGTTTGTAGTGTTTGAATTCAAAAAATATTGCTGAGCCTATAAGTAAAATTAAAGTTGTAAATCAGTTAAAAATACAAAAGGTAAACATGTAGCAGATTCGATTGGCAGACATTTGCAAGGGGTTGTTGCAAAATAGTTTCTATAGCCATATGCATATTAAAGCAAAGACTCATTTTTAATTTCATATATGAGGGTTTATTTAGAAGTGGCTTATTCCTTTTGAGACTAAAAACGTCTAGATGTAAATAGAAAACAATCAGATTAGATCACAGTATAGGAATGGTCTATAATTATATATCTATGTCGCAATTGTAGCCGACTTAGCGTTAGCAATCTGCCTCAGGTAATACACAGGCCGGTGCAATGTTTTTCAAAGTTGGGGGGGGGGCAATTCGCATAGACATTATATATTTTCTGTCAAAAAGTGATAGTGTTTTTTTTTAGAATTAGAAGTAAACTCATTTTTTTGAAATACAATTCCATGATGTTATAAGATAAGCACATTGTCTCCCCCCACCATTGTTGGGGACATCGAACGCCCTGTCAGGCACATCCTATCCCTACCCCTGATCTCGAGGCAGTGTAGATTGTTTATTCCTGAAATGTTTTCCACATTTGCAGAACTGTAAAAATTATAAATACTGTATAAAATTATTTGCTAAATACCTTTAGGTAGTTTTTCTATTGCTTTCTGAATTTCAACATCAACCTCAAATGACACGTATGGATCCTCCTTCTTGATAGATGTTGGCGTTGACTGGATGTTAGTCACAGGTACCCCGCTTACATCTAAATAATACATTTTAAAATAGTATTTAGTGGCTTGGAATTGATTATAAAATTTGATGTTTACCTTGCCTTACGAAAGTCATCTCCAGTTACGATATGGTAATAATTGTAGTGCGACCACAATGAAAAAATAAAACAGGTTAAAACATTGCTACATACACTGGGCCACTGAAAGGGGGCAGGGGAAGAAGGGGAAGCAGATCCCCAAGCTTACCAGGGGGCCATAGAAATTGCAGGTAGCATTTTTTCCCCAAATTTTTGGGCCCCCACCCCCCAAAAAATGTTGGGCCTTTGGCGAAACCTTACTCACGTTTCACGCTTGTACCTGGGGGCCCACACCAACCCTTTTCCTATTACAGTTTTCCCTCTTGGCGGCCCTGTACCTACAGGAGCCATACAAGGTACTCTCTCATGAGAAATAATATATGCAGATATATGTAATTAATATTGAAAGTTATGTACAATACCTTTAACTGAAACAACGATGAATGGATCAATATAAACCATGGCATCTTTTAATCCAATTTTCTCCACCCTCATTGTCAGACGAGTGGTTCCAGGTGAGGGAGGAATTTTGGGTAATAGAGTACCTGTTGATATTGGAAAAAAGATTTTTCACAACCAGAATAATCTTACATGATGAGTTGGTAAGCCAAGCAGTTAAGGCAGGGGCACCGCAACGTACAGCAATAATATCAGTGCAGGTTCAAATAGCGTGCTCGCCTATGGTTCTGGTGGAGGAACAAGTCTTCTTGGATAAAGATTATAAACCGTAGGCCCAGTGTACACAATTTGGCTCAATGTGCACTTTAAAGAACCCAGCACATCTTTCGAGATGAGTAGGGGGTGACTCAGGTGTACCGGTCCTTTCAGCCCCTGCTATAGACAGACTAGAGTAGCTGGTACTGGTTTACCTGGTAGCTCAGACACACAGAGACCCAGGGGAGAAGCAAGTTACTATAAGAGCCTGTCCACACCTCAAGCACTTTCAGACTGTTTTGGTGTAAATCGCTAGGTACAGTAAATCTAACTACAATACATTATCATTAAATACCAAGTTTCCACTAAGAACTCTAATGCATTTACAAAGAGCTCAGGCTAGACTAATGGCAGCCATAGTGTGCACACAGAAGCCTACCTATTTCTGGCTCAATTCTATCATGGCTCTGCTTGTGTCTCAGCTAAAAGCAAGTTACAATAAAGCACCATCATTTGGAAGAGAAGTCCTCTTTGGAAAATAGCATTAGTCGCTGGTTGTCTTTCCGCATACTGCCCAATTCACCCCCCCCCCCACCACAATCCCTCAGACTTTTGTGGGTTATCCTAGGTGCTATGCATTTCACACCACAGAAACCACACCCTTACCTTTAAGTGATCCTTCTATGGGTGTTTTGGGGATAGTCTGTTTCTGGTGGATATGGTTATCATCATCATCATCATCAATATCTTCTTCATTGTCATTTTCACCATCGTCAATATCAAACCCTTTCCTTGCTTGTGGTGGTCTGAAATGATAAATTGATCCTTAGTTTGGATTGGATTTATTCGGTGTTAACACCAAGGATAGCCCACGAAAGTCTAGAAGACGACTTCTTTCCAGTGGGGTCCTTCTGGTGGTGACTGGGCAGTACACCGGGATACAATCCCCTACTCTTTTCCAAAGAGTGTACTGCGTTCTTTAACGTGCACATGGGTCATAAATGCAGACTCTAGTCCAAAAAATCCATTCTTATATCTTTACTCATATACTTGCTTAAATGTCAATTTCAAATTTTTATCAATCTAGATGTATTTACCTATTTATAAATTGTATTGCTATTCCTTATTGTTTGTGTTTTTTATAATGCTCAGAAAAGTACAAGAAACTTAAAATGTATTTCAACCAAGTTTTACGACACAACAAGATAATTATCAGTAGATACAAAAAGCGGTTTTGTAAAGGCAAGACTTACCTTGTAGCTGAGGCAGGTATATGGATTGGAAATTCTTTCTGATTGGTGGACAGGATATTAGCAAGAGCTATAACATAATATCAACTCAAAATTGTAAATTCATGTGAATATGTGATATTCAAATCAGTCCTTATGGGTAAAGAAATAACCATCACTTATAAAACTGTCACATATTGATAAAAAGCATCTTGCTGAAAATGTCTGTATTTTGTGTTTCAAAAAATATAAAAGTATACGTACTTGACTGGACTTTCTTGACATCTTCTAATGAAATTCCATCAAAATCATTTGGACTCTATAAGAAAAAGCAACCAATGTTTAAAAAATACAACATGTACTATGTTAACATTGTTGTTATCCTAGAAGCCCAAACTAAACACCTATTAAGATTGTTCTTGTCAAACTAACTATGCACCTCTGGTCAGTTTGAACAAAAATAATTCAAAGTGCGAAAAGCTTGTGTAGCATTTTCCCTGGTAAAAATAGCCAAGCCATGTGGTAAGTTTTATCAAGCGAACATTGTCCACATAGAATAACCAGGCTGTTTCTGGTGGTGGCGGATGTGAAGCACAAGAGTCCAATGTAAACAGCTCAAGTTAATACCACACATGTTGCTCAACTTTCCACAGAATGTATCCATGCTTAAACTGACCATGCATGCACAAAACCATCTTAAAAAACTTAATTTTAAATCCAAGTACAAAACATGACACATTTGACTGAGATACAGTACAGATACCCTTCAGGGGCGGATCCAGAGATATCCAAAAAGAGGAGACAATTGCGAGACAACACTACCCTAGTGTTTTTTTTTTTATAGACGCCTGGAAATAACCTCTGAGGTGTTTTGGGTGATCAAAAATTTCTTCTTTTTTTTTTTTAACTTTCCAAAAAGGCAAGGGGTACCCCCTCCCCACCTACTATAAATCCACCCCTGCCCTTCTTTTTGTTAATGAACACAAAAAAGCATCCAACAAACATTTATTTGATTAGATATGCTTTTAGCTCTGTCCACACTATCGAAGTTTATGAGATTTACCTATAAATGAATCTGATTATATCATATCACACACATAAGGACAAATTTCAGGTATTTATAATTTGTCATTAAAATTTGATAGCATGAACCAGGGGTGGATATAACACAGCCCCCCTCCCAAAATCCGCCCTTGTGAACGGAGCTTTAAAGTAAGGGTAACAACACTGCATGTTTAATGACCTCGTAAGAAATGGTTTTCCAATCGTGGGCTTGTAATCGAATTAATTACCAAGTTATTGATTAAAAAATGTCTTAAAATTAGAATGACAAAATATTTGCCTTTCCAATTAACAGATGCATACTCAAGGGATTTGCAAAATACTTACATTAGACTCTTAATTTAAATAGAATAAAATGTTGCAGTAAAATTGAAAACATGCATTTATTTTTCTATCCACAAGACATATAATAACTTATATTTAAATATGCATTATTCTTAAAACTATTTAGTTAGGAATCACTTTCTCCATGATTAATATATAAGTATGTTAGCCAGGGCTTAGGGAGCAATTAGGTCATACCAAAGCCTAACAAACGGAAGGTAGGTTACCAACCAATATTGATAGCCAGCCAAATTGTAATTTTTCTGGTGCAGAAATATTTTTGACTTGAAGCATACCTTCTCTATGTTTTAATTAATAAAATCAATTAAGTCATGGCAGAAAATGGACGTTGTTATCAACCATCAAAAACTCCAGGGTTAAAATTCATGTGACACCGATAAGAATAGTATTCTGCATCAGAATTGGCTCCTCTGAGATGACCCATAACAAAAAGTGTTTCATAAAGGCCTCATTACATTATTGAAATTAGTATATATTATTTCAAAATTTAACTATAGCATAAAGTATATTTATGAATAATATATAACATCTAGATGTGTATAAGAGACAGTAACATAAAATCAACTCAAAATTGTAAA